TAGTACATAGAAAAATAATAATAAAAGAAATATTAATAGATCAAATATTCCCTTCCACAGTGTATTCCTTTTACAGGGCATTCCAATGATCTCGTAAGCTCAACCTAAAAGGAAAAGGGTATACGTGTTAATAGTCAAATTAGTCAAGTCATTTACCAAGCATTAGCCGCCAAATGGAGCAATTTGATGGGGTCATCGCTGCTCCTGCCGGGGCTCGAGTCAGTCGTGTTCGTGGTGCCGGAGCAGGACACAGGTGCGCGCGATGGCATTCCTGCGCTCGTTCCGCATCAGCAATCAGTACATACGCTTCTCGGCGCTGCTGCTGCTGCGCTTCTACCTGGCGCAGTTCTATTTCCTGGGCCTGCTGCGGCTGCGCTACCGGCGGAAGGGCAACGCGGTGCACCTGACCCACTACAGCGTGACGGTGTCGCGCCTGGTGGCGCTGCCGTTCGCCTATTTTCTCAGCCTGGCGCTGCTCAGTCCGTACAGCTCGCTGCTGTACATGCAGCCGTATCTGTTCCTCTGCTTCTTCCTGTGGCAGCCGCGCCGCGTGCACGAGGAGCGCGTGCGCCTCATCAATGGCTTCTTGCGGCTGGCGCCGGCGCTCCACCGGCTGACGCGTTGCCAGCTGCAGGTCTCCTGGCTGCTGGTGCTGCAGCTGGCCCTCAAGCTGCTCACCATGAAGATCTATTGGTGGGTCTACAGGCGGCCATCGGACGTCATTACGAAGTTCGGCTATGTGCTGCTCATCGCCCTGCCCGGCAGCCTTTCCGTGTGGTGCCTGGACATGGCGGCGCATCTGATCAGCATTTGCCTCTACCTGCTGCTGGCCTCCTTCGAACAGCTGAACACGGAGCTGCAGCAGCAGCTGGAGCAGCTCCACATGAAGACGCTGCACGCGGACTATGGAGCCGTGAAACGGCTGCAGCGCCGCCTGCTCTACACCCAGCGTCTATACGAGGCCTATGCGCGGCTCACGCAGCAGCTGCTGGACACGTTGGCGCCGCAGCTCCTCCAGATTGTCGTCTACAATCTGACAATGATCTATGCCCTCTCCTTTGGCCACTGGCGTCGCCTGCTGGACATCCTGATGTTGGCGAACGGCTTGCGCATACTGTTCCAGTCGCTCGATGCACTTGTTGTGGCCACCAGATCGCCGCGGGACACCACCTGGATGCATCTCGCCCAGCTGCTGCAGCTCAACCAGGCGCTGGCTATGCACGGCTGGCTGGATCGGCATTGCTCCACGTCTGGCCACATGTACAGCTCGGGGCAGAGTATGCGGCGTGTTTTGCTCCAGCCACGCCTACAGATTCTTGGCCTCTTTACGCCCAACCGGCGGTTCTTCTTTCGCCTGCTATTCTGCTACTGCAGCTACCTCCATGTGAGCTACGTGTGGCACAAGCGTTTGCCCGTCCACAAGGGCGAGATTTTCAATTTATTGTTGCTCTGAGACAGATTTGTAAATTTATTGAATACTGAAAGT